AATAAAACTAGTAGTTACAAACAAAAAACTACTAGTTGTTACAAACATTTGTTTAAATATAAAAGCACATCCCACAAGATGAAATTCAAAAAAATTGCATGTTACTTTTAACAATAAATGTCTTTATTTGCAATTGATTTTATTCAATTCAGCATTAAAATTGCATAAGAAACTATACTGGATTATTTCTAAAACATTTAAGATTTCCGAAAGTTACTAATTTTTGAAGTAGTGAACTATAAACAGCTGCATAAAAATACTCATAAATATACCTCAAATCAACCTTAATACCTCAAAAATACCTCGAATCAACCTTAAATATACCTTAAATTTTCGTAAGGGATCAAAGTCCTGACCTTCAATCGGTTGACAAACTACAACTATTTTTCATGAATACATTTTCAATAAATCGAAATATGGCTGAGTCGGACATAAACGAGTGCTATTGGGCCCTAGATATATGATAAAATTAGCCTAGTTTTATTGAGACTTGAAAATCGAGGATAGAAAATTTTTGCTGGATCCGAGTAATAATCGGGAGATCCAAACTACAACTATTTTTTATGAATACATTTTAAGGTTTCAATAAATCTAAATATGGCTGAGTCGGACATAAATGAGTGCTATTGGGCCCTAGATATCTGGTAAAATTAGCCTAGTTTTATTAAGACTTGAAAATCGGGGATAGAAATTTTTTGCTGGACCCCAGTAGTAATCAGGAGATAAAAATCTGGCTACGTAGAGAGTAAATGCCAGGTACCCGATATATCTCTAGTATATATGGAACGGCATTAAAGCGGGCAATTTGAGAATTTCTTAAATTATTTTTTTGAAAAGTGGGACTTAATTCAAACTGATATTCTCTGAAAATAACCCTATTCGCCTAGAAATGTTTAACGAATTTTTTTTAGTTTTATTTAGACCAAAACACGCAAATACCAGTTTATATGTTAGCGTGAATGGTCGAAATCTGGAAAATGCATGGTAATTTGCAAAGATTTTGAAGAGGGAGAATCTTTTGAAACTAATTTCATATTAAAATATTGGCATCATATTCTCTGGAAATCCTCATATATGACTAGAAATAAATAAAGAATATTTTTGAAGTAGTTTTATTTACTCCAAAGCACACAAAACGTTTACATCGAACAGGCACTGGTATTTTTTGTAAAAGCGAGATTTCCTTCAAACCTAAATTAAATTAAATAAAATATGGGTGTCATATTACTTAAAAACCCCATATATGACTAGAAATACTTAAGGTATATTTTTTAAATTATCTTATTTAGTCCAAATCCCACAAAATCCAGTGCATATATAGACCTAACATTAGAAAGGACATTTGCAAATATCTTTAAAAGCAGGATTCCTTAAAAAAAATTGACAAATTAAAATACTAGATATGACAAGTAAATACTAATCTATGACCCCAAAATACGAGTAACCCAGCATATATATAGAACTAACATGAAAATGTCGAAACATTAATTCCTTATAGCTAGTTTTATGATAAATATGTTCGTGGCCGTAATATTCTCTGAAAAACTCGTAAGCGACTAGAAATATATAAAAAATTTATTAAAAATAATTTTATTTTGTCCAATTTACATTGCACATATCAAATAAAATTAGAATAGGCAAAACCAGAAATTTTTATTTATTTTTTCTTGGTAAGCATTATTTCTTAAGAACTGGTTTTATATTAAAATAAGGGCGACATATTCTCCGAAAATACCCATAAATGACTAAAAATAATTAATGGCATTTAAAAAAAAAATATTTCGGGCAAAACACGCAATGAAATGCGCATAAAAAAAGCTGGAATTTACAATTTGTAAATTTTTAAAAAACATTTCAAAAGTGGAATTCCTGTAAAACTGGCTTCTTATTAAAATGCGGGTGTTATATTCTATGAAAATTCTAATATATAATGCAAAATATTTTTAAAATAGATTTATTTTGTATAAAACACACAGAGTCCAGTGCATCTACAGAACTAACAGTAAAACATATCTCATATTAAAATATAGATGTTACATTCTCTGAAATTATTAATATATTTTTAGAAGAATTTAAAGAATATTTTAAAAATAGTTTTATTTAGTCTATAAGTGCTCAAATTCCAATGTATATGCATACATCAAATTACATTAGAGCGGGCATAGTAAATTTTTTGAAAAGCGCAATTCCTTTAAAACTGATTTCATTTTAAACTTATGGGCATTATATTCTATTTAAAATATCAATGTATGGCAAAAAATATCTAAGGAATATTTTTTAAATAATTCTATTTAGTCTAAAACACGCAATGTAGAACTAAAAATTTTTATTTTAAAAATTTGGAGAAAGGTGGAATATTCCTTAAAAATATGTCTCACATTAAAATATGGCCTTGACATTCTTTAAAAATCCCCCTATAAGACTAGAAAAAATTAAAGAATATTTTTAAAATGGCTTTATCTACTCTAAAACACAAAAAATTCAGTATATATGTAGATTGTTGTTGTTGTAGAACTAACATTAAAACTGGCAATTTGCCATTTCTTTAAATATTTTTTTGCAAAAGTCCTTTCAAACGTTTGATTCCATTCAAACGGGCATGTTTTTAAAATATTGGTGTCATATTCTCCAAAAATACCCATATATGACTAAAAATATAATATATGGGTCATATATAGGTATTAATATTTTAAATATTTCTAAATAGTTTATTTAGTCTAAAACATGCAGATTCCAGTGTATTCATGAAATAAAATTAATATAAACACTAAAAATGTTTTTTTTTTAAGCGGGATTTCTTTATCATTAGTTTAGTATTAAAATATGATTGTCATATTCTCTGAGAATACTCATAAATTTCTAGAAATATTTAAGAACATTTATTAATGAAATTATTGCTATTATTGCATAAATAGAGCTATCGTTAGAAAGGGGAATATTCAAATTTTTTGGAAAACGCTGCTCCGTTAAAATTGATTTGATAGTAAAATGATTCCATGAAATTCTTATTCTATGTCTTATTCTATGAAAATATCTACATATGACAGGATGCAAAAAAAGTGTGAACCATTCTCACTGCTGATATGAATGTTCTTTTTGGATCATTCACTTCCCGAATGCAATTACAGTTCACAAACATTGTACTAGTTCAAATGTACCCAATGCATTTTATTGAGACATAAGTTATTTTTGTCGATATAAGATGTTTTAAAATTCAATTTACGATCTTGATAAATCGAAGAATAAAGAGAAGTAGTTATTTTTGCAAATATGAGATGTTTTGAAATTCAAGTTAATTCAAGTTAAGTTGAGGGAACAAAGAGGTTATCGAAATCGTATCGAAAAATTTAATCGTATCGTTACGATATTGCCTTCGAGCACGGTTCTGGCATAATATTCTGTCTGGTGACTATATAAAGCTGGTTGAACGCAACATTCTCGGCTTTTTGTAAGCCCATAAGCTTTATCGTAATGGCTTCCTCTAGTGTGGTAAACTACATATTTATCATTTAAAATGTTTAATTATTCTAAAAATGACACTAATTTTACACGTTTTTATCATTATGTAATAGAAATTGTGTTTGCAATAACACTTTCAGTTCGATTGCAAAATGTCATTAATGTCTATTCATGAGTTAACATAACGTGCGTTTTGTATTTACATATTTTTGTAGTTTAACAACTTATATGCTTATTAAATAAGCTAAATTCGCAAATATGTTATAATTAATGAAATTTTCTAATTAAATTGTAAGTTCTCTGCTTTTTCTGTTTGAAATACATTTTTCTAATTTAAATAAAATGGAAATTGACCTCTATACCAATAATCAAATGCCAATTTAATACATTAAAAGAGCTATCAACTCGTTTTATTAATTTTTTCAAACTAATCGTGCTTTTTATTTCTGATCACTAGTTTTTCCTTTTATGACATGACTACTATTAAATTTTTGAAATAGCTGTATAATTTTGTTCGCTAAGCTTTTAAAATATTTCACTTATCAGTAGACACATTTTTCTTGAAAAAAAAGGGACCTATTTCATTAAAATTTAAACCATTAAAACTCCTTTAATTTATCATATAAAGGTGATTTTCTGATTTTTTTTTTAATCACAAAAAGTATGTAGGTATATAAATCAAGTTCAATAAAGTCCATTGAATGCTTTGTCATTAAAATATTTTTAAAAATGTTGTATTTCATAAATAAAATAAGATCTTTGTATCTAAGACTAGAAGATCCATATGGTTTGAATTTGCTTCTTCACCTCTGATTTTCATTTAATTTTTCTCAACCAAAATAATAAAAGTCAGGCTTTGAAAAAATTAACATGTTTCTGACTATAATTGTTAACATGTAATAATGAAAGTTTCTTTAGATTGTATTTGATTTTTATACAAACATATAAGGAACAATGATACAAACAAACAATTTGATTTTTTATATAAACAAACCTGTATACTGTTTAATATTAAGAATGCTTAAAGAGGTTTTTTTGATCAAATAATCATTTTTTATCCTGAAGTAGAACAATTTTTCGTACCTCTCTGTTTTGTTAAGGAGGCAAAAAAAATAAGAAATACGAGCATAGTGTTTATATTAGTATAAAGGTGTCTGTTACAGCAATTTTTTTTACAAAACATTAGCTCAATCATGAGGCAAGCTGTAATATTTGCTTAGCATGTTTTATTAATAAGCCAAAAGTATAGTTTTTTACTCTCAAATTATTATTTTCTTTGTCAATATTTTAAAAGGTAAATATTATCTTCGTATTTAAAAATGGAGTAGGAAAGAAATAATTGAGTAGCTTGAATTTTATAAGGTCTGTTAATGTGCAGGGAAATGAGTTGGCATTTTTATTTTTCCTTTTCAGCCAAGCAAAGGTAAGGTTTCTAATTCATAATGAGATGTGATGATTTGAGAGGCATATTAGTCAGAATCCATGGATCCGTTTTTAAAATTTCTACAGTCTAATATTTTTAAATGTGTACAAATTGTTTACATAATCTTTAAATTGTGTGCATTTTTGAATAAAGAAAATAATTGTATATTTTTTATTAATTTTAAAAAAGTGCAAAAAGGCTGTGGTTTTGAAGAAATATCACCCAGTTGACAAAGAAAAAAGAAAAATCAAGAAATTTTGTTTTTAACACCACAATTACAATATTATAGTCAAATTTTTAATCAGAGTAAGATTTTAACACAATAGCATAACTAAGTTTTATTTTATGTTGTGAAGAAAAAGGTATCTAAAGTGAGAAGTTCAGCGTTGTAAAAAAACACATAGGCGTATGATGCTTCATTTAAAAAAAAAGCTAGATTTTTATTTAACAGAATAACCTAGGCTAGGCCTAATTTGCTGATAGCCAAGTGAAATGGGGGGAATTACAGCTTAGTGCATTTTATAAAAATTTTATACAATTTATAGCACAGAGAAATAATTACATTTGTGCCCAGTTCTTACTCATTATAACATATTTATAACGTAACAACTTTATTGTTTGTGCTGAAAAAGGCTTATAAGTTTAAAAAGTTAGCTGCACCAGAAGCAATTTATATTTAATAGAAAAATATATACAAAAAAACAAAAAAGAAATGTCATAGGATGCATTTTAAGGAAAATTGATATAAAGCATACTTATTATGAATGACAACAATATAATATTTATTCTTAAATTTTAGACTTGAGTGGTCTATATTCAACTGATAAAATAGGTTTTTAATAAAATATGCTAAACTTTTTTAAATACTTGTACGGCAAAGTAAAAAATGTCTAAATTGCAGAGCAATTTATGTGAAGCTTAATTCCTTTTTTTTTTATTGCATTTATATTGAAAATATTTGTCTTCATTTCCGTGCAAACTAACCAAATTTATTATTTTGTTTCATCATTGCACGTACACAATATTTATAATTGTTTCAAGTCTTGTTGCAGAATCTGGGATTGGATATAATTTTGATTCATAGCAGCAGTAGTATATTGTTAAATACTGTACTGGAATTGTATTATTAAATATTTGTATCCCAATATTTTAGATATGTTTGAGATTTAAGATTTTGTTTTCTTTTTTCATTAATTAAAAAAGAAGAATTTAATTAAAAAAGATTCATTTTTATTGTACAGTGAAACCTCCTGTTATGGACACTCCTGCAAAACGGACGCCTCTTAATACGGACATATTTTTAATTCCCCGGGAATCTTCTATGAATAAACCATTACGTACATTCTCCGCAATGCGGACACTCCCGTAACCGGACGCGGACAGTCATTTTGGTCCTGAAACGTTGTTTTTTATCTCTACAAACCGGACACTACTTTTTCTAAATAAATTGCAAGCTAAGAAATGCAACTTTTCACCATTTTTAAGGCATGTAAATAAAACTTTTTGCCTTATCCATAACTAAAAATATTGTTAAGCTATTTCACCACCGAAAAATCAATCTTTCTCCTTTTACCTTGCCTTATCTTTGTAAAGAAAGGAGAGAAAATGGTACTGCACTCCTGAAATAATTCTGACATCGGCATCTTTTGATCTTTTCATCTGGACCACACAGGTTATGAGACCCCTCAAGTTGAAATGACTTCTCTCAATGCTTCTTCCCCATTGAAAATTTCTTCAATTTTCTTATCAATTTGAAGATTGTATTTAACACAACTGGGGTAAAAAAAGAGAACAGAAGTCTAATCTTTGAGGTGTTTATACAAATGAAACATTTATTCAGACACTTGATAGCTGATCAATTGTGAATAATCATCTCCATAGGTCCTCATGACTTACAGGTATGCATTGTTTTATTTTCTGTGAATCATGGGAGGTTTATTTTCCAAGAAGGTATTCCCTATCAAATGATAAGTAGGTGTAAGGGGATGTGAACCTAATAATTGAAACTGAGCCTAATGACTGAGGACAGTACGCTCCTATTTGGTATCATATGTCTAACTAGTATCTATGCTAATAGGAAAATTATATTTATTTATCTGTAGCTACATCCAGAATTATGTATTTAATATCAATCTTCTTTATATATTCTTTTTTATCTTTCTTATTGTTTAAATAAATATTCTTGTAGATATTTACAGTATCCTTGTAGATATTATTTAATTATTTCTACATCTTTAGAGTATTCTAAAACAATTTACTGTGTTAAATTTCGTTATTAGGGTACCCTTCCCGTAAACGGACAACTCTCATAAACGGACAAATTTTTTGGTCCCATGAATGTCCGCTTAACGGAGGTTTCACTGTATATAAAAAAAACAAAATTTAAGAAGTATGTTTTAAATTGCTATTTTTTTTTCATCTTCATTATTTTAGACAAGGTATTGTGTTAAGTTTTTTTTTAAGCTTACGAATTGTAGACAATACACAAATTGTAGATTACATAGATTACACAAATAGACATTAGATTACAATAGACAAAAACATTAGATTACACAAATTATAGATTTTTGATTACACAAATTATAAAGCAGGAATCATGATTTTAGAAATTTTTTTTTAACCTAATTCAAAATATTTCTAAAATGAGATCAGAGCTGTCTTATATTTTAACAATAATGAAAGACCTTTCACTTTTAAAGAAGTTTTTGTGGTAATAAAATTAGTCTAATTTGGGACTAAAACAGGTTTTTCTATAAGAAAGGAAAAAAAAAAAAAAGAATAAAAATTGGGTTGACTTGGCAGTAATAAGTCTAGTTGTCTAATTTAGTAGATAAATATTAGTCTTAAATTTAAATAAGTCTTTCTAGTCTTTAAATTAAATACTAGACTCTATTGAATATTATACTAACTATATCTGTGAGCCATTAAAGATATAATTAAATTTATGAATTATTATAAAATAATTCAGGCGTAATCAGAGCATAAATAAGTATTCATATCAATGTTCCCTTTAAATCAAAATAACAAAATTAAATTTTTGTAACGTTATTTTACTTTAAAATAATTTAATTTTGTTAAAGTTTCATTAATTCATGATGTGTTTATGTTAATATAAATAAAGAAAATTTTAACTTAGCTAAAGGAATAATTTGGAGAAAATTTTATATAAATTTTTTAGATTTGTTCATATTGAATGATAATTTTCTTTACAATTTATTTCTCTGCCAACAAGATTTTGCCAATAATTTAACATTCTTATGTCCACTGTTTTTAAAATGAGAATCAAGTTATGTTTGATTTACTTGATGTTAGAATACTACTAACTAGTATTAATTTTTCAGCCAAAGTTATATTGTAGTGTGATAGAAGATGTAATATCTAGTGTGAGAGAAGCATTCATAGATGAAGGAGTTGATGAACAAGCTCTTGCTGAATTGAAACAGGTCTGCATATTTCTTTCTTTCAGAATCATGGCGACATTGTCGCGGAACTTTACAGAATTTTTGCAGAAAGATAATTGATTTAAAAATTAAAAAAATTTTACTTTTCTTTTCTCCTGACATTTGCACATAATATTTGTGTCATGCATTTAGATAATCACTTTTTGACGCTCTCAATTTACACCGACAGTATCGTAAATCGATATAATGTTTCGATTCTTTTTTCGGCAGTTATTGATATTGATTTTCACATGTTTTTTTTTAATATCCCGATATATCTCAAACAATATGGAAAATTCGAATCGGGCATTTGAGTATTTATTTTTCAAGGCAATAATTCTATTGAATTTTTGGCAGTTATTGCTATTGATTTCTCCATAGTTTTTAAATGTGTTATTTTTTATGTGATATTATTTATTACAACAACCTAATCTCAAAACTAAACACGCGTTTGAGGATACACATAATTTCATGGCCTAGTATATTTTTTTCGGCAGCTACTGCTACGCATTTCATGATTTTTAATTTTTTTTTTTATTGTAATAATTATTTATAAAATGCGAAGAGTTTATGATTAGTATGTCCCCCTCCCCAAGAAAATGCGAGAATATCACCCATAATATTAGAATGAAAAATTATTATACGTTCAATTTAAAAAAAATATAGTTTTTTTTTTTAATGAACACCACTTATTTGTTATTTTAAATTAGTAACATATATGTTTATTATTAAAAGAATCTTGCAGAAAGATATTTGTGCTGGAGAGTTAAATCATAGTTAGCTCGAAAAAATTCTGCCATGGTGTTTTTTACTTTATTATTGATCTTGTAAAAAGTTATGCTACCCACCGAATTAAGTGTTTGTAGAATGTTTTGAATTTTCCGTTTATAAGGATCTGTTTTTAATGAACAATTTCTAATGTATTTTTTATGCATTGAATTAGTTTAAAATTTCTGTTTCCCTCTCACCATTAACATTAGCTAAATATTTCATTAGAAAATTTTAAATTATAATTAGAAAAGTTGTAACAAGTTTTTATAATTTTAATTGTGTTTTAAGAAAACAATTAAAATTATATTGCATAGTTATAAAATTATTTTGCATAGTTATAAAATTATTGGTTGTGATGAAGATGATATTTTGATTAAATTTGTTTTCTTTTTTTTTTTTAAACAACGATATATTTCGGGTTTAGTTTCAATTATATCTTTATTTAAATTTTGGTCTGCCTGTCTTTATTTTCTGAGAATTGTTCTTTTATTAATTTTTTGAAGAAATGAAAAATTTTTCCTTTTTTTTTCATGTTGATCAATTTAAGAAAACCATCTACTCTATCATTATTCAATAGTTTGTGTTTTGTATCTTCTAGAAATTCAAATTATATAAAAAGTTTGTTTTCTATTCTTATTTTTTTTTAAAAAATTTAAATTGGTTTGAAATTTATTTAGGTTTGGGAAAAGAAAGTGCAAGAATCTAAAGCAATTGAAAGGGAAGTTGAAGCTCCTATTAATAAGGCACCTGTGTTACAACCTGTTCAACAGACTACAAATATAGGAACTTCAGGTAAATTATTCATGCAATCAAAATAAATATCTTTATTTACATATTTTTTTAATAAATAAGAATATGTGCTTATGCAATATTCTCAAATTGGCAGCCCTAAAATCCATAATCTTATGAAATCAGCTCAGATTTTAGATTGTAAACAACAAATTAGTAGTTGAAGTTAAAGTTGGCAGCTTCAACAAGTTGGTTTCTTTCACTGCATTATCGTGTATTTATATTGTATATCTTTCACTGCATTATCGTGTATTTATTTGTATATCTTTCACCAGGGTTTGAAAAATTTCAAAATGTCCTATATGTCCTAATGAAATTACTCTAACTATTCATTGAAAGAAACGAATTACCCATAAACCTCATCACTTAGCTAAAAAGACAAAAGGAAATAGAAGAAAAAAAATGGGAATATTAACTAAGATTACATTTTATATTAACGTTAGAAATGGAAGAAAAACGTTTATTTCATACTTTGCATCCAGCATTATATAGAATGCCTAGGCATTGTGTGAAATATAAATCATTTCATACTTTGCCAGCTAGTTTCAGGCATTATATATAATGCCGGATTTCATACTTTGCCGGTAACCTATAGGGCAAATGTTTTTCAGTAAAAATAGGTTTGATTAGGGAAATAAAAAACAAAAAGCTAACTTTATTTCCTATATTTTTATTCAAAAGCAAAATTTGAGGAAGCACGTAATGTGTATGTTTAGGTTATTTTTAATTAATTGTATTCATGCTTGGCAGGACTTGTAAGAGTTAAAGTACAAGTTCAATCAGAGTTTTTACATGTCCTGGGCATCTTAATTTGAGTCTATTCATCCATAAATTTAAAATAAAGAACTTATTCTAGCGAATGTAATGCCACACTTGCGTTGAAATTGTCTTTTAAAAATGGATAGGAAATATTTTTTTTAAAAAATTTTCTCATTATTAAATTGGTAAAGTTAAAATGCTGGAATTTCTTCTGGATATTTTATTATCTCAGAGGTATTATCTAATCTTTCCTAACAATATCAAAATGAATTTGATGATATGAGTTCTGAGAAAGTGCTAGTAAATTTTTTTCTCAAAAAATTTTTTTCTTTTGTTGATTGTTCATTTTATTCTACATTTCATATTATACATCCTTTGATTTTTAATCTTTCTCCTTCTTTAACCTAGTAAAATTAATTACATTAGATTTGGAGTTTTTTTTTTCTTCTTTCTAATGCCATAGTTGTGGCATAAAGCCATGTTGACAACCAAATTTCAGAAGTTTTTACCTAGTTATATTGAAAAGAGTGCAATATTTTGAGTGTTTTAAAAATCTTATTCTTTTCTACATTGATCAGATTGTTATTTAATATTGTATATTTTTTTATATGAATTTTTTGTTACTATACCTTCTATATTTTTTTTCTTCTTTTCCCCATTAGCAACTATTACTCACCAGTTGGCTATGCCTACCGCTAATATTGTCCCACAAACTTTATTGCAGTATACCAATGTAAGTATTCATTTGTTTCCTCATTTGACAGTTTCAGAAATTTTTTAGTTGTAGCAATTGAATTGAATGTAGGGTTTAGTGGCACAAGGTCCAAAAAAAAGGATGTGCTGCTCCAAACACACGGATGTTGTAAAGTTGCATACATTAAAATGAATAAAACTTCATGGTAAGTCTACTAAAATGGTAAGAAGTATGAAACAATTATATGCAACTTAAAATTGCAATAGTGTTTAAAAATGCAAATATGTTAGGATAGTGATTTTTATCTAACAAGTCTTTTATACATAAAATCGTTGTTCCGAAAAAGGTAAGGCGTTTTTAGCTATAGCAAAGATTATATTTTTTATAAAGTACAAAAATGATACTTGGGTTAGGCTGAAAAAAAATTTATCATCCATTTTAGTTGCTACTAAATAAATGCCAAAGCCAAACCTTTGTTTATTAGTTGTATAAATTTTGACAAAGATTCCTGTCTTGCTAGAGTGCCGCTGTCACATTGCGTTATTTTCACTAAACTAATGCTATTGTTTTGTTGCTAGTTGTAATTTACTGATAATAGATGTTTCTGTGCGAGAGATTTTTTGCCACTCGAAATAAAAAAGGATATGCCTTTAACTTATATCTAAGTAAAGGGCAACTTTAGTTTTTATGGATGTTTGCTTAGCTTTTTACATCTGTACAAAAACATAAATAATAGCTCAAATTGTAATTCAAGTATTAATCATAGTATTTTTTCAATAGTAAAATAAATTAATACATTCAGAAATAAAGATTCAGTAGTACAAATAATTATAATTAAAAACATTTTATCTTGTGAAGATTATTTAAACATATATTTATAATTATTTAAATATATGTTTATTAAAAATACTTGTGTAACATTAGAAATAAAGTTATTTAGTATTAAATAATATATCATGATTAAAATATTATTACATTTATAAACTATGATATTTCAAAGCATTTAAAAGGTATTTTTAATGATCATTATATGACTGTAATGTTCATAAAGATGCTGAAAAAAAAATCTTTTGCAGCTTTTATTTTAATTCTGATTTGAGTTCAAATTTTATTTTCATAGTTGCATTGATAGCTTTTTCAAAAAAAAATATATTGTAAGAGTTTGTAGCTGGAAACAAAACGACATTTAAACAGACTGTACAGTAAGTTTCTAGCCTTGTCTTGAACCAACTTTGAATTGCAAGAGCATATAGTGTACAATCTATATGTTCATAATATATATGAATGTCTCTTGTTTGAAAAGATGACAGTAAAATTATTGAAATTTCATGTTTTTTTTTTAATGAAAAATTGTAAAATTATTGCTAAAGCAGTGCTTTCTTAAGGTTTTAACAGCGTATCTGAGCACCTGGAAAGTCCTGGATTTCGGTATTGAACATTATTTGTCATGATTTTGAGTATTTTTTTTAAAAAAAAAGTCGTGGATTTGGGTTGTTGAAAAATCTAATTTTTAAAATAAAATTTACTGCTCGCCCTCCCTCAGTTTCACGGCGTTCAGAATATCTGAATTTATATTTTAAAAAAACCACTAACGGTCATATTTTATTGAAATATATAAAGGCTTTTATCTTTTTAAAAATTAAGGTGTTCTTTCAAAAAGTGAAAGGCAGAACATGATTTCTAGAGTGAATTATCTTCTGTGATTTCAGAATTTGTTTTTATTTATTTATTATTTTTATTTTATCAATTTAAAATTCTAGCTGAAGCAAGCCAGTCTTTAGCAAATTTTTTTTAATTCCGAAATGATAACAGAAAAAATCAGGAGTATTTCTTTCCTTTCTGATGAACAAGAAAAGTATCTTTAGAATCTAATTCTGCAGAAAAAAAAATTTGCTTTTCAGCTATTTTATTGTTTTAACTCTTTCTTTACTCAGTTTTTTAAATTAAAAATCTCTGGATATGAAAATGCAGGCTAGAACAGTTTTGATTATACATATTATTTCAATTAATGTAATTATACTGCTTTTTTAAATTTATTGTTGTGTTTCTGTCGGAGAAAATAGTAACTTCGTTAAAGTCAAGAAAAATTCTTGGAATTAGTCATGGAAAGTCATGAATTTGAAAATCTAAAATGTAGCAGATACCCTGTATTAATCTATATTTGTCAAATTCTGCTCAGTAACCAATTTTTACCTACTTTGGGAGGCTATTATAAAATCTTTGAAAAGTTTTTATTTGTTAGTGCCACCCTAACTTATATTGTCATTACATTTCGTTTTATGTTTGCTAAAAAAAATATATATTACACGATTGTCATAATTTTGTTCAAATGTAATTTTAAAAAAATTATTATTTTTTAGGCTGATGCTCAAAAAACTATGCAACTTAACTTGCCGCAAAAATTAACATTAACTGTTCCAGCCCATTTAGCTCAGTCTGGTCTTCAAACTTTGGTTGTAAGTATATATTTTTAATTAAAATTTCACTGTTTTTCAAGAACATGTCATTTTAACAGGGCATAAAGTTAATCAAATAATTATAAAATTTTCCGATATAGAGTGTAAGTTACATTTGTTTATTATCTTGGAAAATTTTATCTTTGAAAAAGTATCAGATGTAGTTGTTCATTATGGTGTTTTCAATAGTTATATTTGATAAATTTAATAGTAAATTGATTAATAGTTTTAAAATAGTTTTAATTGATTAATAGCTTTCTTTTTTTTTTAAATTTATATATATGCATTAGGGTTGTAACAAATAGTGATTTGGCAAAATGCTAAATATTCAACAGAAGAATAAAATCTTTAATAACTATTTTTTATTTTTTTTATATAAGTTAAGTCATTATTTAAAGTTAATCAAAATCTAGCTATATTGTAGGTATGGGGTAAAGCGAGAAAAACTATTTCCTTTTAATTCATAAAATAAAACTAATGCTAAAAGAAATATAGTCCATCAAAAACGCTTTTAAAAATACTGCACTATAATAAAAACGCTAAGAAAAACTAAAGATTATGTTTAAAAGTGATATAAAAAGTAAAAATCAATCTTAATTCTCAAAGGAAAATTTTAAAGCTGAACATCTTAATTTTCTAATTTCTGTATTTTCAAGAAAAAATTAGAAAAGAGAATTAAGTCCCATAGTAATTGCTGTGTCATAATTAAAACATAAATTAAAAAATATTTTTTTTTTTTTTAGAGAAAAAGCTGGACAAAAATCGTTTTTAATTTTTTGATAGAAAATTTGACCATATAAATCTAAATGTAACTTTTTTACAGTGCCACCTTTTTAGAGAAAAATAACGTCATTAGAAACACTCTTTAAAATAATTTTGTATCATAAGAACAGTGCTGATAAAAAAAAAAAGCAAAGGAGAAACCGGAAATAATTGTTCTCAATTTATAAGATATTACTTTAACATTGAAAATAAGTTTTTTATGTTACAGGTTCCTACCATACAGGAAAAAATGAGAATAAAAAAATAAAGTGTCATAAACGCCTTGTTAAAATGCTTTGCTATTATAAAAATGAGAGGGGGGAAAAAACATTTAAATTTTTTTTAAACAAAAAATTTTCTGAAAACAAAATTCGTGGTTCAGTTTAAAGTAATCAAGTTTCAATTCTTCAAATTTCCCTTTTTTCATTTATCTACCAGAACATAAATTTGCAAGCTGTGTACAATTTTTGGAACTTAACTGTGTGGGAAAACTATTTCTAATGTATAGTAAGAAATTAATGTTTTTGGTTAACATAACAAATGTGTGTTATAGACTCAGTGATCTTACTCAATCTGATCCTTTTTAGTCTGCTCCAAGTGGCACTACAGCCCTTCAGTTTCCTGCTGACCTTGCATCATTCTTCCAAGGAACTAATGTTATAACCTCTGGTCATCCAAATAGTATCCAACATGGTAAATTATTTTTTATTTCCTGTGACAGTTACTTTTTTTATTTATAAAAAATATATGTCCTGTAAAATGTCGGACGGAACATAGTGTAATGTGACGTCCCGTAAATGTAAAACGGAAGGTCAGAAGAGTTTCTTTCCCCCCCTGGCATGCCAGAGGGACAATCTTTTAAAAATAGTTCTGCAAAGAAAAAATAAATAAATAAAATAAATAAATAAATATTTTGAAGAAATTCTGCAAAATTTTTTTTGCAGATTAATTTCTGTTTCTGAAAAGATTGAGCTGAAAAGAAGACCAAATTTTATCTCTAAAAAGCATGGAAAATCCCTATTTTTTTAAAAAAAACCTGGAAAATTCCTATATTATTCCTGGAAAATAACAAATCTAGAATTGTCAGTAATCAGTTATTCATATTAGAGTTAAATAATTCTAACATCTATTAATATTATTTTTCATAAAATTCCCATTTTTAGTGAAACTTTTCGATGTTTCCATACTCATTTTATTATATGTTTCATCTGCTTACACAATCTGATGTTTGACGTTACAAATAAAAAAAATACTAACGTTTTCTGTTGAAAAATTCATGGTATAGATAAAATATGGTTTCGATATCCTTGAAATTTATCTAATATACCTGGTAAAGTCAGGGAATTTTTTCTGAAAATAAGTGAGAATGCTGTTTTATTGTTTCCCAAATAAAATAAAAAAAATCTTTCTGCATGAACTCTGTAACATTCTGTGACTGTGTCATCATGTCACCTCTATTTTGTCACAAAGAATTATATAAATGATATATTTTAGTAAAAGTACTCAGTAAAATGCAAGTACAATATTCTATTTATGTAACTGCGTTTTTATTGATTCATATTTTTTTTAGGTGGTCAACAAATTGCTGGTGTTCATTATCAAACATTAACTAGTGAACAGTTGAAAAATGCTCAACAGTTTACTGTTACGATTCCAGTTAGCTCAGCGCAATCTCAGGTTTGTTTCCTTTTTTTCTGGTACTTAATCAGGATGAGCACAAAATAGGGAATTTAATCAATCTGAAAAAAATCTTGAAAATAACAAGTAATTTAACTAAAATGCTAATAAAAGTCAGGGTTTAAGTAAAAATAAATTTATGTTTGAATTATATAAAAGTGCAATAATTATTCTATAAAATTGGTGTAGCAGGTATTTTATTATTTTTTTTAATTGTTATTTTCAATTGTAACTATGCATGTATAAGTATTTTGTAATATGTGTTTAAGAATATAGCATTACTGAAAAATTAATAAAATTTATGCCACCCGGTAGAAAATCAGGGAGAGATTATGGAATTTTTTTTTCTGAGTGTTAGTTAATGTCATAATTAAATATTTTCTGTGTACTGATTTTACAGGTGTGGCAGTATAATTTACTAGACACTATTACTTACCCACTCATTATTTCTGAAAGTACTAAACTTGGGCATTTAATGACAATTTATGGCATATTGTGGTGCATAGCTGCCAAATATTCTGGATTTTCCAGTAGACTACTGGATTTTGCCAGTTTCTTCTGGTCTACTAGTTTATTTAAAATTCTCCTGGTTTTTGAAAATTTTAGAAAATTCCCAAAAATTGAGTAAGTTTTACAAAAAAAATCCCTATTGTAATAGAATTTTGGTACAGATTATTGCTTAAATAATTAAATAAGTATTACTAATACATTTTGAAGTGAACCTCATTTATCGAAATCAGTTCAAAACTTTTATTGTTATAAAATGTTCAGTTTATTTTTATTCACAGCTCTCTTTTTTAAATTAATTTTAAAAAAATCTTTTAACTATGTTTGATGTATTAAATGCCTATTAATATTTGAAATTATGAGTAAATGTAATACATAGCACATACAAGCATAATTTCAGACACATTTGATGTCAATCATAACTGGAAAATATTGCAGTTTTTCTATTTTGATGACTATAAAAATCCCTGAAATTCCCTACATATAAAATATTTAGTACATTATACAACAATTATAAAATTTATATTTCGTTAATTCTACCGGATTTTTTTCCCCTTTCCATGTTGGTAGTTATGTATTAAATTCTCGTGTCAATGATTGTTTGTCTAAAATCTCAAATATTACATTTTTGTAAGAATCGGTTGATTGTTCACAACTTAAGATTCTGCTGCAAAATATTTCATATTTATACGTTTTGTGCATATGTAATATAAAATCTTAATGTTACCAAGTGAAATATTTTTTTTTAACAAATTGCATCATTTGACATATTATTTATCTGACATGTTTTCAAGTATGTTTAATGTCAATCGTAAGTGGAAAATATTGCAGTTTTTTTATTTTGATGACTATAAAAATCCCTAAAATTCCCTATGTGTGAAATATTTAGTGCATTATGCAACAACTATCATGAAATTATATATTTCGTAAAATCTTCTGGATTTTTTCTTTTTCATGTTGGCAGCTATGGGGGTAGAATTAAATATTCTTTTCTTAAATAAACTTTTAAAATTTTATTGCTTAGAAACTATTTGGCTGATTTCTTTCAAACTTTATAATTCCTCATTTGAAATTACATATTTATTATGAGATAATTACAAAAAATTGTGTTCCTAACAATTCAAAAATCGTTACTATAGTATTATATTTTCCAAATTATTACAACTACACTCGAATTTTGATGACCAAAAACCAAAATCCATTGGGGGAAGAAGGTATGTTCAGTCGGAACAAGTATATTTTTTGTAACATAATAGCTAATACTGGTTAATTAATATATTAAAGAAATTTTTTTTTAACTGTTTAGATTGGCCCTTAGTTAGTGAAAATCCTATCATTAGAGCAGTCATGTCAAAGATACGGCCCGCGGGCCACATCCGGCCCCCGGTTCGTATNCCCCCCCCCCCCCCCCCCGGTTCATATCAATACGGCCCGCGATTGCGATGTGTCACAAAAAGAAGAATCGTGTTTTTTAGACTTCACTCAATTCCTCTACGGAAGTTTTAAAATGTGCACACTACATTTATAAATAATTTCAAGGGCAGCGCGTGCCTAGACAAGTGAGAGAGATAGACAGTAACGCCATTTCTTAGCAACAAGCGGAATCTTCGACTGGAATATACTTAGCAGCACAACTACGGATGGCGCTCCTGCCATGGTTGGCAAACATTCGGGAGTTGTAACTAAATTAAAACAGAAAGCATCAGGGAATTTTGTGGGATTTCCCTGTATAATTCATCAGGAATCATTGGCATCCAAACATTCAAAAATGGACCATGTCATGCAACCTATAATTAAAATAGTAAATTTTATAAGGAGCAGAGGACTAAATCACCGACAGTTCAGGCAGTTTTTACAAGATTTGGACGAAAATGTTTTTGATGTCCCTTATTTCACCGAAGTTCGTTGGCTCAGTCGAGGAGTAGCTTTAGAAAGATTTTTTCCATTACGTGACCCTATTCAAGCTTTCATGTTAGAAAAGGGTTACCCAATTGATTATGACAATGACTGGTGGATTGATTGTGCCTTTTTGGTAGATATGAATTAACACTTGACTGATCTGAATGTAAAATCTGATTGTCACTCAAATGTGTTCATGTATACAAGCCTTTGAAACAAAATTAAGGCTGTGGGAAAATCAGGTAAAAAATCAAACTTTGGATCATTTCCCTCATTAAAAATCATTTGGCACAGTGAACCAAAAAGAAATTGGATCAATATTCTCAACTTCTGCAAAATCTTATCACGGAATTCAACAATTGTTTTGAAGACTTCACAAAATGAATGAAACGGAATTCCCAATTTTCAACAATTCATTCAGTTTTAAAGCTTCACAGACACCAGTTCATTGGCAAATGGAGTTGATCAATCTTCAATCTTATTTTGAAAGAAAAATTTAAGGAGGTTAACGCTCTTACATTTTATACACAATATTTCAAGAGTTTGGATAACTACCCAGAATTAAAAAAGCATGCAGCACGCATTCTGTGCATGTTTGGTAGCACCTAGTTATGGGAGCAGATGTTTTCCGTCATGAAAATAAATAAGAACAAACATCGCGCAAGACTTACGAATGAACATCCCCAATCAATTCTTAAAATAATTATAACATATATGAACATCCGGTTTCATAACAAATATGAAACCGGACATCAATGAGCTTGTCAAAAACAAGAGAAGTCAGGTATCTGGATCCTCGAGCTCACAATAATAACCATCTTTTATAACTTTGATATGATTTTTAACAACCGTATATTATAAACTATATAATTAGATAAAGAAAATTTTATAATAATTCAGTAAATTTTTTTTTATTTGCATCTGGCCCGCCTACATATTCTAAATTTAATATATGGCCCTCTGCAAAATTGAGTTTGACACCTCTGCATTGGAGCAAACATTATTAAGGATGGTATGTGATTTTCGCTGTATACTCTACAGTGAGGAATAAAAGTTATAACCCATAATTGACTGCCTTTAATGAATCATTAATAAAATTTAAACTTTTTTTTGTAGTATAATTTGAAATGTTTATTTTATAGCCCAGTGTTATTGGTCAGATTGATGGAGCAAATGATACGAGTGATGATGACGATGATGATGATTTTCAAGATAATGATGATGATCGTGATGACAATGATGATGACCAAAATGAAGATGATATAGGGGAAGAAGATGAGGTAAATAAATACCATTTGCATTAATTATTACAATAGTGTTAGTAGTTAAAAATTTAGGGCTATGAAATTATATGTATGCATGGATACTGAATAGGGATTAATAAAATGTATGAGTAAAATATATAAATTCTTATCGAAAGTTTGTTTCTTACCTTTACATGCCTGTCGGTACCTAAGTATTTAACCAGGGATGTTTTCTACATTATTCCTTAATTATTACAAATTACTGAATGTATGAATTTTCGTTTATACTCAATACCCTCTTGAATTGTAAAGTTTGTGAGTCAGTATATAAAGAGTAGATTAATTTAGATGAGAACATTAAAAAATTATAATTTAGTACATTTAGAACACATAAATAATTTTAAAAGTATTTAAATAAACATAAAACTAAATTTGTGTGATTGAAATTATTATTTATTAATAGTAAAACTGTTAACTCACAAAAATAATTTCATGAGTCCTTTCATTCTTATCTACGTTTAGTTTCCTTTTTTTTTCTCCGAAAACAATGAAAGAACATAAAATAAATAATTAATGATCTTAAAAATATGTGTATACGTATGTGATATACGTAAATGTAATATGTGTATACGTAAAATATGTGTATACGTATGTGATTTTAATCATACCTAAAACTTTTTCAAAATGCTAAAAGTTATACTTTTAATTACTCAAGGTTTAATTTATCTGGATTATAGATTAATGATTTTGATAAAGGCACTTGATTAATCAGTAATAGTAATCAGTATTTAATAATAGTTCATGATATAATTTTGCATAATTTTATTTCGTCAAGGAACCCTTGAATTCTGCTGATGATGTTAGTGAAGATGACCCAACTGACCTATTTGATACTGAAAATGTTGTTGTCTGTCAGTATGATAAGGTATGTATAAAATTTTTTTCTTATATGCTTTTCTTTGCTTTTGAAAATAAAAAGTTTCAAGAATTTGCTGATGGTGAGGCCCATAATAGGCCATCCGTACTATATAAACAAATAAAAATTTGATTGGGAGTTCAGTGTCAAAAAAGCTGAAGTCACTAATAGAAAGATTTGCCTGTTTTACCAGAAAAGAGATATGTTTGCATCTTGATTTGTTACATTTGCAATGAAATTTTATGTTTTCATGAGCATAAGACATATATAGACTCTAGTGCACAAAAGTCTTTGGTCAAACTCAGTGTTGTGGGTTGTTGATTCAAAATGTAAAATATTGTACAATTCTATTTTTAAGCTGTAGTATGTTTATCAACCAGAAAATGAAGTCAGCATTTTGAATGTCACTTAAACCCTTCAACAGCTGGTGCTTAACATGGTGAAGCCGATCATTAAGGTTCACTCATTATACCATAATTTTTATATCAGTCTAATATTAAATTAATAGTGTTTTCGTACTTAGCATTTTTTTATACATTAGAATAAGTAGTTTTCATATTTATTTATTGAATCCTAATCGTAAATATGAATACAATTAATTTAATATTAACATTAGTTTTTGTAAAATTCGTTCATGAATGACCCGAAGTACGAAAAAAAAAAGAGAAAGGACTATTCTATTGAGCTGCGCACAAAGATAAGTATTTTATTTGGAAACGTTAGGATAAAGAAGTAAGAAAATCGAAAATTCGAGATTAAGTGTAACATATATGTTGGCTAGTTTAAGAATAATGCGAACAAACTCTGTTGAACTTGAATATTTTTAATGCAAACAAATTAATCCAACAGTATCAGTAGTTTATCAATTACATTCATAGTCGTTAGTCATTGCGTACATAGTCATTTGAGTGCCTGTACATAGTGTATTGAATCTCACATGTCAATTCAAGTTTAAAATTTTAATTTTAATTTTTTTTTTGGTGTAGATAACAAGAAGCAAAAACAGATGGAAATTTCATTTAAAGGATGGCATCATGAATCTACAAGGCAAAGACTTTGTTTTCCAGAAAGCTCTAGGTGATTCTGAATGGTAGCATGCCTGTGTTCCTGATTATTCCTCTTCTCATTTTAATCATCATCATCTTGACAATCCTCATTGGTCAGTACCTTTGATGGCTAGTATCAAAAGTTAATGATTTGCGGCATCTGGCTGACAATAGGTTGTCATGACTTTCATTCGGGACTGAGAACAGCAAGTTGTTTAATCATACCTTTTTTTAAACTATTTGTACAGTACTGTGTCTCCTCCAATGCTATTTTCTGGCATCTTGAATTTTGATACGACTCTTCCACAAACTTGTAGTTTCTATTTTAAACAGTTTAAAGATAATTTTGTTTCGCCTGCCTTTGTATCAATGTCTATGCAATTTTATCGAATCCTCTACCAAAAGTGGATAAATTTCTATATTTCTAGCTAAACTTTATGATATTGTATTAGTTTATTTTCTTTTTTTAGCCAAATCTGGTGTGTTGTCTCGTAATGCAAATTTTTTTTCTTTTTTAATTTCATGCATATTCCAATGAAAAATTTATTTCAAAGCAGATGAAAGTCAAAATTCCTGAGCTACAATTTAAATTTGTCTTAAATGATGGTTGGAATAAGTTCATTCATTTATAGTTTTTTTTCTTCTGTAGTTTTTCTTTTATTTTCATTTTGTTTCTTAATTTTGGTGTTCTTATTTTCTGTGAATATTATGAACTACAGTACAGAACCCGTTATCCGGAAATCATAAAACCAAAAAACCGGAACGAAATTCGATTAATTTTCTCGCCATTTTTAAAAAAAAAATTTTTTTTTTTTTTTTTCTTCATAAGATTTTACGATTTTTCTATCTTTTTTTTTAAAGATGTTTACCTTACCATCGTTTTGAAAATAATCATTAGTGTATTACTTAATCGTTTTTTCTTATTTTTAAGATTATTTCCATTTTTTTTTATTTGGGTTTAACAATAAAAAAACTGCTTTTTGTAGCGATTCAGAAAACCGGAAAAATCAGTTATCCGGAATAGCGATGGTCCCGACCGTTCCGGATAATCGGTTCCCTACTGTATTTTACTAATTTTAGTTGAATAATATTCATTTGGTCTTAAAATATAATTTTTTTAAATAAATAAATGCATAAAATTTGTGCTCTTGAAAAATTTAACACATGAAACCTATTTATTGTATATAGATTCAAATGGTATTTACTTCAGATTTATTTTATTTTACAGTTCTGGGATTTTGAAATTTTTATATACTTGAGTAAAATAACACAATTTTTTGAGCTAGCATTTTCTATAAATAGTAAAATTTTAAAAATATTTTTTTTTAATTTTGAATTGTTATTTGTGAATTTCATTATGTCGCAGCAGTAATAGTTCGCAAGCTAGTAAAGTTTGATAATTATTAGTTTCATTATTGTTTAAAAGTTTTTTTTCCTCTTTTAACATTAATAGAAAATAGTTGTAAGTATGATGCTGTTAGTTAATTTAAAAAAATCTATCAAAATTCATTGCACAATTTTTTAGGATATTTTTAAAATATCTAATTCTTCAGGCATGAGATTTTTTTTTGTTCTTTTTATCATCTTTACCTCTTTTTTTTTTAATTTTCCAATTTTCTGTTTTATTTCTGATGATGTAGCAAAATAATTATACCCATCAAAAATTCTTTGATGTGAACTTTTCAAAATCTATAAAAACTAATCAAAATTAACTCTAAGGCACTAGATTGCAAAAGATTAGGGTCAGTTGTTGGCAACTCGGATTTTTCTAATTAGCTTGTAAAAGGATAATTTATTGATTTAATTTGTTGTATCAATCAAATTGAGATTTCTATTGATTTAATTTTGCTAAGTCTTTTATTCTTGTACTATTAATATTTTCAATGTTGTAGTATAAAACTGTTTTGCTAGCATTCCACTAGTCTAAGATAATTTTAGTGTTTTTCAATTCCTATATTTTATGACCTGATTAATAATAAATCATCATAATTTTTTTCAAAAAAAGATTGCTGCAAAATATTATATTGTATTAAGTTTTATACTTTTCAACACTTTTTTTATCATTTAAACAAAAATATTGTTAATTAATAATTTTGATGCTCACAAAATTGTCTAGTTCTTTTCCAGACACATTCTTTCTATATTTTTATGTTAGCGCAAATTTTAAATAAGTTGCTGAAAATTATTGTTTTATAGTTTTGAATTTGAAACTTTTTATTAACATATAAATATTGTTAGCTGATAATTTTTTTTTTTATTTTTTCTTTTCCAAACACATTCTTTAATTATTTTTTTTTTTTGTACTCATGCCTGTAATAATGAAGGCTTGATAAGTATTCCATATCAAGCATGTAATGGAATACTTATCAAGCATGTATCATGTTTTGTACTGAAAAATTACCATATTTGCAATAATCAAAACAAATGCAAATATGTTGATAGGTTATCTGATTGACAGGATTACATATGCTGTCTTAAAACCTAATTTTTATTTTTTGGATTAAGGGGACACTGCATGCTCAAAATGAGAAGAATCCTTCAAAAATCCATTATTTTGTTTTTGAGATATTAAAAAAATTACACTTCACTAAGTAATAGGCAAGAAACCGTGTTTAAATCGGAGTTATTCTTACCTAGTTATAAGATTTGGAATTTTTAAAGGTCCATACATCAATATGTAGTTCTCGTTGATAAAGTTGCTTTTTCTTGTAATGGAATTTTTCAATGTTCTCACAAATTCAACAAGTTTCTTGTGCACTAGTTTTTGTTTTATTGTTATTAAAAAAAATTTTAGATGCTTTTTCATGTTTCTTGTTTAATTCTGATTTGATTAACTCAATATCTTAATTTATTTTTTTAATAATTGAAGTGTGTTATTTGAACAAATTTTTGGTGACATAATAAAAATTCAATGGCAAGTACTGTTGTATTTTTATTTGGTTACCACAACCACCTAAATTTGTTTAATTGCTGATAAACAACATATTTCGAAAAAAGTTTAATTAAAAAAATTAAAATTCGTTTGCAATGATCTTTTTAATTATCAACAATTAAAAACAGTACTTTTAGCTATAACTTAAAAACTAATTATAACTTTTTCTAAAACTATGTACACAGACTTCTATTAATACTACCAATATTCTGTTAACTGTTAAAATTTGAAAATGATCGAATAAAAATTTATTTTCTTTTTTTTTTGAACGTCCTGTATCCCCTATCAGCATCCTACCTTTGTACATTTGAGTGAAAGTACATACTTATTATGTATTTGTGTAGTGTAATTGTATTTGTGAGAGATCTGTATAAAGTTGATCAAAATTATTAGTTATGCGTGTCGTTTTCATCTATAAAAAAAAAATTTACATTAAGTGCCTGTTTTAAAAATTGGTATCTGGGATAGGATAGTTTCGAAATTGTCATGAGTGTGTTATATCATGTTGTGTTTGTAAAAAGTGTATTACTATATAGTTTTCAATTTGTTTTATAGATAACCTTAGATCTAAAGTTGATTATTTTCTATTAAAAGTGCAAATTATGTATTTATGAGTTTATAAGTTTGTTGCAAAGAAATTTTTATTGTGCATCACTGTGATGCAAATAAACATACTATTGGAAAAGAGAAAACAAATCTGTGATGATAAATAGTCTACTACTAAATAAAGAAAAAAATATCACGTAGATTTTGAATAAATGTTACTTAAACTTTTGAATTACTTACTGAAATAAAATGTTTATCTATTCAATGGAATTCTTTGTTTTTGCCTGTTTAAACTCATTTACTTTTTATTTTGAATCAAAGGTTAGTATCTTTGTAAGAGAGAAATGTGAGTGAATCAATGAAGTTGCGTTGCTTTTTATGATTTTCATTTTAGCAGTTTGTGCAGTTTTAAATATTTTATTTTTTTCTGGCATTCATCCCACCTTCCAAATCTCCTGTTTTTTAACGGAGGTTCCTGTATTTTATGACTATCTCTTGTTTAACTGTTTCTCAAATTTCGCCGTATTTGTTGAAAAAATTAAAAAAAAATAATAATTTGGCAATAAAATCCGTTGATACTTAATAAATACTTCTCTTATTCCTCAACGACAGATAGTGCTATTGCCAGTACTGCAGTATGTTGAGTGTTTATAATTTAAGCACCCCTTGCAGTCAGGCTAACTGTGGGATGTTTTTGTGGTTTTCCTCTCCATGTAAGGCAAATGCAGGTTATTTCCATCAAAAAGTCTCCACAAAGGCAAATTTCTCCCGGTATTTGATTGATCCAGGAGTTCAAAATTACAAGGCTTTGAAGTTGAACATTAGTAAGCCGTGAACCCAAAGTTGGGTTGACTGTTAAACAACGGTTATAAAATAATTTCAGTAATTATAAATAATGGTTTAAAAAATCTTCTTTAGATTAATATTTATATACATATTTTTTGCTAAATGTAAGTGCTTATATTTCCAATTTAGAATTTCTCTTTTTGACTTGCATGATGTATCAAAACTTTACACGTAGCCTAAAAAAATGTTGCTAGTAAAATCTCCGTTATTTTATTTCCCTCATGTTGTCAGGTATGTTCATCTGCTTTTAATATTAATAGAGGTTCATCAATTAATAAAAGAAAACAAATGTTCAATAATAAACAAATTAAGTTACTTAATAATAAACAAATAGCATTCATTACCTCTCCATAGGTTAACATGGCAGAAGCTAAATTACTTATCTCACTTAAATGTAAGTTTTCTTTTACTTTAATTGACTTTGTACAGATTAACTTTTTAGCTATTAACCGAGTTTATGCAATTGTTTCATCTCCCAAGTATGCTTGTAAGTTTGTGTTATTAATTTTCAGGGGGGGGGAAGCAAATTTTTAGAGCATTAATTGTTTTATCATTGTTATGATACCCTAACATAATTTCTAACATAAGCTTTTTGTATGTTTTGCTAATTCTCATCAATTCTCAACTTCAAAATTTTTGATATGCTCAGAGTTGTTGGTGTCATAGACTTTATTTAGCTTTGCTAACAACTGAGAGCTAGCAATAACAATAATTCAAAATTTACTTTATGAATAGTCATTATGTAAGTAACCTCAGGGGGTTCACCTTTCTTTGGGTGAATACGGGTGTCACAATCCCGAGGTGCCCTAGTGATTGTTTTTTTTAATTTATTTCTAACTAGCATTTTAAACATCAGGCTTGGCAGTCTCTGTTGCACTTCAGCCCGCTTCTGAGGCTTTGAAGTAATTTTTTAAAGTACTTGCATACATATACTTTATTTAGAATTTTTAAAATTCATCTATAAACATGTATAATTTGTTTTGAGGGTTTGGTTGAAAATTTAAAAAAAAAAAAAAATCCACAAAGTTCCANAAAATTAAAAAAAAAAAAAAAAAGTATCAACACACTTTATTTCTAAATTGATGTCACAATGATCTTCGATACACGGAAACATATCTTAAATTGAACTTACTTTTGCCCTATTTTGAGGATCAACTAATTTCATTTTTGTATTCGTTCATATCGTAAAATTTCCGATGCACTAAAACAAACGTTAGACTAGGTTCAATAGCTAAGCGCCAACAATTTCAGTTTTACTCTCT